CACACACTTGTTGAAGTGATATCTAATTCCTGCCCTAGCAAAATGTGTGGCAGACTCTCCTCTGGGTGCTGTTAGCCTTTAGCTGTCAGAAAGACTATTACAAAAATCCAAAGATATCCCAAAGCAAATTCCAAACAAGCAGAATCATATATTAGGTTTCCATACACCTCTCGGAGAATGCGAGGATAAGAGTGGCTCTGCAATGGTGTTATAAATATCACGAATTAATGGTGGATGCAATGCCAACACCTTGTCATTATGCAAATTGGAATGTGGGCAGAAATGGTTATTCAACAATCCCTTTCAAAGAAACCAGACTCCAAATGCTGCTCATTACAGCTAAACTAATTAGCACCACATTTAAACCATTTTAATAAGCTTTTTCCTTAACCCCTTGACAAGAGGAGATTCCTGATGCTACTGCAACACCATATGAGCACTTGGCTGGGGTTGTGCTGAGGGCACTGAGAGGCAGAAAAGCAAGAAGTAGTCCACCCAAAATGACAATATAAAAGTTCCAGACATTTAGAGATGGAGAAGCAGATTGCACTGGAGTAAAAGCTAGGTTCAATTTGCCCAGGCTCCAGTGCAGTCTGCCACTAACACAGGACCACCATGCCCTCCTCCCAGTACAGCAGAGCCTGCTCCCAGGCTGCTCTCCTGAGCCACTGCTAAATGTAGACCATGTACTACCCAGGTCTAGCTAATAGTAAAAGCTCAACAAGCACATGAATTAATTTATTCCTCCACTCAATCAGCTTTGAAAAAGAGGAGAAGGAGGGAAAGCATCAACTAAAAAACATGAATAATTAATAGCTCTCTTCTTTCAGGGGCAGCGCCCAATTCCTGCAGCTGGAAGGGTAATAACTTGGTCCCTGTTTGTCCAGCGGCCAGGTAGACCCACGTCTCATCTACATGTATTTTCCAGGGCATGTGCTGTTTTGGGATCTTTAACACCTCTCCCAGCTGAAGGGGTCCCCGGTGCTGCTGGATGGAGAGGGTCCAAGCTGGTCTTGATCTAGGCTGCTGCTCTGAGGCCTTAACCTCTGCCAGGGCTTCCCACCCTCTGTCTTAATTCTTTCAATTTCTATAGAGGATTTTGTGATAGAAAGGACCATGATAATGCCCTGTGTCAGGAAGGCCACTGCTCCTTCCTGTTTTCACCTTTGGCTCCTGGCTCACCTCTCCCTCACACCTAGAGTCTCTACCCTGCTTTTTGCCCCACCTTGCTATGCACTTGACTTCATTCTGCACTTCCCATGCTGTGGCTTTTTCCTTGGGCACCGCTTGGGACAGAACTCTCTGTTTCCAGATGCAAATTCAAGTATCATTTTCACGCAAGAGCAGGATGTCGTTTTGCTTTTATTTAAACATAGCTGTCCCAATGCATCCCAAAACAGATATAAGGAGAAATTGCTCTCCAATGGGTGTCAGAATCACAGAATGGTTTGGATTGGAAGGGAACTTAAAGATCATCTAGTTCCAACCCCCTGCCATGGGCAGGGACACCTTCCACTAGACCAGGTTGCCCAAAGCCCGTTCCAAGCTGCCCTTCATCGTCATTTAAGTACTGCTATAACATCCGGATGTTCTTACCTTTCCTGATGCATAACCTACAGAGACATTTTTATCACCTCCACAATTAAAACCATTAATGTGTTTAATAGCACTGGATAAACTAATACCTGCACAAAGAGCCAGGTATTTCCATGAGGGTCAGAGACCACCCGATGGCTATTGCTGCTAAACTATTTTGATACATGTCAAATTGAATTTTTGCTGGCTGAGTTCCTGAGATACAGTACTACTACTTGCTTCTGGCTAGTAGCTCCTCATCGTTAGGAACATCGTTACTGTCAACTTCCACAGCCACTTTCAGTGGAACAGGTTTATTTGTTTGTTTTCCACAAAAAAACCCCAGGGTTTTTTTTCCAATAATGTTCACTTTGAACTCACTGATGCCCTCCCCAACCTGCAAACTGTTCCACATGCCTGATGTAGAATCACTCACAAATCCGGTGTCAGTCTTGTTTCAAAAAAAAAAAACCTTCTCAAACCCCAAAATCAAGCCCCAGCCCTAAATAAATCTTAAAAAAATCATTTCTAAGAGCTTTTAAGGGTTAAAGTTTTCTAATGGAAATCTTCAGCCAGACCTGGATTTGCTAAAGCCAAGCCTCAAGTGAGTTCAGAGAAAATGAAATCACAAGGTATCATGCAAAAAAGAGCATGGACCCATCCTGCCTCAGGAACTTCAGAGAGGATGTGCCGAAGGATTGTTTTTATTCAGAAACCCTGCTCACATTGTGATGTCACCAAGTGCTTTGGATTAGAGTCAGCCCCTTGATTCCAACCTTAAACAGCACTAATATCATACATGCTATATCTATAGTCTTCTCCTCCCCACATGCAAACAAGTGCTGAGGTAAGAATAACCATGGAGAAGTCTTTGCTTTCAGGTCCCGTTTTACCACCTAAACAGCACCAGTTACAAAAGGACGACTTACCTTCACCAGCACAGCTCAGTTACCATGTCCTTTTAGAAACACAGACTATTCATTAAGTAGAAGTATGTTACAATACAATTGCAAAGGCATTTGAGTTATAAAGACAAAAACATATAACAGAAATTATGTGAATGATATATTTATTTCTCCAGAAGCCCTGAGGACAGGAATGGAAAAGTTCCAGTAGAAACACACACAGTTTAGCAACTAAGATGTTTGACAAGCTGAGACCTCAAACTTGTAAATGGCTGGAAGTGACACACAAAGAGGTGTGACATATTTAAAAAGTAGATTGATCTATTCAAACTTTAAAGGATTTCTATTAAAGAAAAGGAGAAAGCTCTCCAAACCCTCTGAATGATGTCTAACCAGTCTAACGAGAATGTTTAAATGGCAAAATTCAAGACCTGTTGTGTGTGTATATGCTGAGTTGCCCTATAGAGAAATCACTTGATCAAACAAGGCAATAACACGGGAGGGGAAGCACGGGATCCTCAAACTCTGGATGAGAGGAAGATGCATGCTGGTAAGAGGCCATAAAGGCAGTGCTACAGAGGATGTGTTTAACATGTTCTCCTATGAAAAGTCTTTCTTGTTAAAAATTCATATCCAACTGGGTTTATTCGCCACCTGACAAGGAAAGTTCTTGCAACAAAAGCAGAAAAAAGTAAGTAGAAGAGCTTTAGAAAAGGGCATTGCTAACCTGGCCCGAAGTCCATGCACCCGTGTCCAAGTGAGCCACCTCCAAGGCACTTGCTGGGAAACCTTAATTCTGCTAATTCTCTTTCTGCTCGAAAGAGTCATTTTAGAAAAACACCTTTTTGCATGCAGGTGTTTTTAATAAAGAAAGGGGAAGAGCATATACATCACACAACAGGATCAGGTTTAACTGGTCAATCGAACACTCAGGTCCAGATAGGAAGTTTCAGCTGCTAATTCTAGAACTGATGTGACTGAGTAGCATCATAATGGAGCATTACTTCCTAAGCACACTTTTTTCTGATGTATTTCTACTGCTTCCTTTTCCAATCTTGGTCTTTGGCCTTTATGTTTATTTTATGGTTTTAATTCTACTAAAGGCCGAAACGGTAACTCCATGGGGTAAAGTGCACCTACTGTTTGCTGGAAATTTTCTAGTGCTGACATGTCATGTTCACAGCAAATAAGGGTTAAGTGCCACTGGACAATACAAATTCCCCACTCTTTTAACAAGGACATAACATCTCTTATAAATGAACACCTTCAGTCTGTGCAGGCTCAAGAATCTCTGGAGCAGTGGCACAGCAACCTTTGTGGCTCTTTTGAATGTTAATGTCCAAAACCAGAGTTTAATTTGGATTGTTCTGGGGTCCCAGAATCCAGTGATCTATTTTACATTCAGATGTGCAGGGTGTTGTTGGTTTGTTTTGCTGGGGTTTTGTGTGTGTGTGTCTTTATCCTTAATAAGAAATAAAATCAGTTTAGCAGTTGACTCAACTGACCTGCGGATGAACTTGGTTTGTCCTTGTCTTCAGTTTCACCTGAAGCCTTTATTGCCAGGTTAACTACATTGATACTAGGAGTGGCTTTGCTTCTAGTGCAGTAGACATCTTTTGTTGAAATCAAACTCTGCTCCATTCATTATCTGAAGGCATCAGTTGATTCGGATTTTTTTTTATTGTGTACACAAGAGGTCTTTTGAGGCACTCAGGAGTCACTGTGCTGCTTAATGTAGTACACTTTCTAGAATAGCATGCTGAGCAAATCCTAGAATCACAGACTGGTTTGGGTTGGAAGGGACCTTAAAGCTCCTCCAGTTCCAACCCCCTGCCATGGGCAGGGACACCTTCCACTAGAGCAGGTTGCTCCAAGCCCCTGTGTCCAACCTGGCCTTGAACACTGCCAGGGATGGGGCAGCCACAGCTTCTCTGGGCACCCTGTGCCAGCGCCTCAGCACCCTTGCAGTAAATAATTTTTCTTTGTACCTAATCTACATCTCCCTTCTTTCAGTTTAAAGCCATTCCCCCTTGTCCTTTCACTACATGCCCTGTAAAAAGCCCCTCTCCAGCTTTCTTGTAGGTTCCTTTAGGTACCAGAAGGCTGCGTTGGTAGAGGCCTTTTTCTGGTACAAATCTGATTGTTTTTTCTGAAGGCATGAAAGTGAAGGTAAATTACAACACACATGTTGGCAAAGGAAATACAAATTACATGAGCCCCTTAGGAAGGAAAAAACCCCAAACATTTTACCCAGAGTATGTACAAGTCATAAAACATGCTCTATTTCATGTACATTTCAAACAATTGAAATAATTGTGGAATGTATTCCATTCTATACTACCACATCTTTGTCAAAATCCATGTTATTATCAAAGAAGTTAAAGTTGAAAACAATTTAAAAAGATTACCCAGTAAAAACACACCAAGCACAGTGTTTCAGTATAAATATGAAGATCTGTGATAAAGGTTTTGTGCACTTGCACTCTTGTAAGCAGATGAAGGGTAAAGAAGATTAACAATTTAATTCAGTGCATAGTTAAACTGGTTGGCAAACTTCTCGTGCTTCCTTTGGTCCACTCGGTTCATCGCTTTCACCACTCGTTTCATAGCACCTCTGAAAGAGAAACAAAACCCAATAAACCCAGTTATGTTGATTCTGCACAGTATCAGAGAATGTTTATGAATGTTGGGGGTTGGGGGGAGAAATGAACTATGATTAATCACTACCAGGCTTCTGAACACTGCACTGATGAGGCTGAACAAATTTGTCTTGTTAGCTAAATTAGCTGCAGCAATACAAATAGTTTAATTCAAGCAATGATTTTATTAACAGGAGTAAACAAATGAAAGTCTTTCAGTTTAATGGCTGTGCCTTCCACCCTCTGAGCATTATTTCTGATAGTCACACATAGCAAGTCTGATTTTCAAAAGCACCCAACTGCTCTCGGTGGCGGGGAAGATAACTAAAGGTGTCTAACAGGATCTAAAAAACCTAACACTCAGAAACCCTCACAAAATCCAACCTGCAGAATCTAGAATGTTCTTGTGAGGAAAGGGCTTGCTGTTCAATTCATGTAACTATAACCCATTTAGCACCTTTCCTTTCAGAGGTTACTAAAACCCTGTTTCATCAGCTGTGGGCAGAGTCCGATGCCTTTGCTCATACCAGCAGCATCCCCATTCCTCAGCAGCAACTGTTCAATCCACAAGTACTTACTAGTTTAGGAAGACACCAGAGATTGTCATGTATCTCTCTGCAGAGAGATGGATAACTGCTGCAGAACAGCCAAGTGCTTGGAGTTTAGCATTGTAAGGACAGTATGTCCAGTATCTTATCCTTATATACAAGTGGAATGGGATCTCTGCTACCTCATGATGGGCAAGCATTCGAGCCCTCCACAGCGGCTGCTGTGCTTGAAGACAACTCTGGAGTGTTCTTTGGATTAAAAAATGAAATACAGAAATAAACTTTGGAGTTCTTAAGCTTTCTGATGCTCCTAAATCTGATGAGTGTTGCTGCTTTTTATTTGCTGCCATTGCTTCCTCCCAGTAAAGAAGGTGCCAAGAGATTCTCTTCTTTTGCAAGTGACTGCTATGCTTTTGAACTGGGTGAGTGAAGATGGCTGCATTTTCTTCACTACACCAACTCTGAGAGAAGATC